CCCAAAATAACTTTATCCAAGCCATTCACTACCTCAAAGCAATGGTTTTGGGTTCTTATCCCATTTGGGACCAAATATCAACAAGTCTTTCTTCTCACTTCTAAACATTATTCATGTATCTCTAGTACTTGTAATCAATCAAATTCATTGTATTATAACATATTCTAACCCAAAATAACTATATCCAAGCCATTCACTACCTCAAAGCAATGGTTTTGGGTTCTTATCCCATTTGAGACCAAATATCAACAAGTCTTTCTTCTCACTTCTAAATATTATTCATGTATCTCTAGCACTTGTAATCAATCAAATTCATTGTATTATAACATATTCTAACCCAAAAAAACTTTATACAAGCAATTTGTTAATACCAGAATGTTGTGTTATCTTATTGATGATCCAAGCACAAGTATTTATACAACTCTGTGATATTATCTAGATCCTATATAAAAGGGATAGAGACATATCTCTAATATATACGTATAACCGAACAATGAATAATATCAACTATATTCCTAGTATATCCGTAATACTCCCCCTCAAGATGGAGCATGTAGGTCTCGAATGCCCATCTTGCCGAGAAGATAAAGAAGCTGGGGACGACCAAGAGCTTTGGTGAGTATGTCAGCCAGCTGATCAAATGTCTTTACATGAAGCGTCGAAATAATGCCTGCTTGAACTCCGTCACGGACGAAATGACAATCATTTTCAATATGCTTCGTTCGTTCGTGAAACACCGCATTCTTCGAAATATGTATCGCAGCCTGATTATCACAATATAGAGGAATAGGTCGTGTTTGAACAATGCCAAGAGAAGAAAGAATCTTGCGAGTCCATAGTATTTCTTGATATGTCCACGCCATTGACCTATACTCTGCTTCAGCCGAAGAGCGGGAAACTGTATCTTGTTTCTTGGTCTTCCATGAAACAATAGAATCACCCAGCATAATAACATAACCCGAAAGATAACGACGAGTTAAAGGACATGCAGAATAGTCAGAGTCACAATAGGCAGAGACAGCAAGATCAGGATCAGAACTAAGGAAGAGGCCTTGTCCTGGAGATCCTTTCAAGTAACGTACAATACGCAGAGCAGCCTCCCAATGCTTCTGTCGTGGAGCCTTTAGAAACTGAGCTAGCATATGAACGCAATAACTGAGCTCGGGTCTAGTAACAGAGAGATAGACAAGACGACCAACAAGACGACGGTAAGCCGTAGGATCATCATGAAAATCACCTTCAGCACGAGCAAGAGTGTGATGTTGCTCCATAGGAGAAATATCTGGTTTGCAGCCTAGCAACCCACATTCCGTAATGATGTCAAGACTGTACTTGCGTTGTGATAAGTAGATGCCAGCTTTGCTTCGAGAAACCTCAATACCAAGAAAATACTTCAGCGGTTCCAAATCTTTCATATGAAAACATTTACTTAAATAATCTTTAAACTTGGCGATAAGAATACTGTCATCACCCCCAATAATAAGATCATCCACGTAGACCAACACATACACCGTTGAGCTGTCTTGAAACAGAGTGAACATGGAGTAATCGGAATAATTTTGTTGGAAACCAAACTGAAGTAGTGCATTAGACAACTTTGCGAACCAACACCTCGGAGCCTGCTTGAGGCCATAAAGAGACTTACGCAACTTGCATACTTGATTTGGAGCAGTAGCTTTGAAACCCGGAGGAAGCTTCATGTAAACTTCTTCCTCAAGATCCCCATGTAAGAAGGCGTTGTGGACGTCCATTTGATGTAATTCCCAGTTTTTAGCAGCGGAGATTTTGAGAAGCTGTCTAACTGTGTTCATTTTGACCACTGGTGCAAATGTCTCGTTATAATCAGTGCCTTCTTCTTGTCGATTCCCGTGAACCACAAGTCTCGCCTTATACCGTTCGATTGTACCATCAGACCGAAACTTGGTACGATAGACCCACTTACAACCCAGAGCATGTTTACCCGGTGGTAACGTAGTGATATCCCATGTATGAAGATCTTCAAGTGCATTAACCTCTGATCCCATTGCTTCACACCAAACATCCGACGAGGATGCTTCCTTGTAACTCACCGGATCAACATTGGCCGTCACAGCAGCACAAAACAATTGTTGGGAAGATGATAAACGGTGAGAAGACAAGTATTTTGTGAGAGGATAGAAGGACTTACTTGAAGACTCAGAGACGGAGGGGTGAGAAGCGTGAGAGGGGTCTATCATTAGGCGAGAAGCATAAGTGACATAAGGCGTAAGTAAAACAGAACGTGTACGAGCACGAGTTCCTCGACGTAACTGAACTTGAGGAGAATTGGGATTGTGAGCTGGTGACACGGAGACTGTATCAACAACAGCTAATGGAGCTGTTTCCACAACTGTTTCAACATTAGGAGAAACTCCCCCTGACGAAGATAAAGATGTATCAATAGGGTCATCAAAAACTGCAGGATGGATATCGTCCATGGAAGGAGATACCGAATTTGATGGAGAAGAGGAAACTGGGACTGCATATGGATAAACGTTTTCATGGAAGATAACATCTCTTGAAATGAAGCTTGTTTCAGTCGATAAATCAAATACAAGCCAGCCCTTTTTGTCAAGAGGGTAACCTAAGAAGACACAACGGATCCCTCGTGGCCCAAACTTGTCTCCATCACGAGCTACTCGGCGAGCATAACAAAGCGTACCGAAAGTTTTAATGTTGTCATAGGAGGGAGCAGAGCCATACAGAAGTTCATAGGGAGTTTTGTTGTCAAGAATGCTTGATGGTGTGCGATTGATCAAGTAGGTCGCAGTTAAGATACTCTCTCCCCAAAACCGAGTTGGTAAATTTGCGTGAAAGAGAAGAGAACGAGCGACATTGAGAATATGACGGTGTTTACGCTCAGCTCTTCCATTTTGCTGTGGGGAGGAGACACAAGAGGTTTGATGTTGCACGCCATGATCAGCAAAAAATTGTTTTAGACAAATAAACTCAGAACCGTTGTCGCTGCGAACTATTTTAATGTGTTTGTCGAACTGTTTATGGACAAAGGTGAAAAATCGTTTCAAGGCAGCAGGAGCTTCCTTCTTTTCAAGTAATAGAATTGTCCAAACCGCTCGAGAAAAATCATCTACAATAGTCAGGAAGTAACGTGCACCAGAAGTAGAGGATTCTCGGTAAGGCCCCCAAAGATCACAATGAATCATAGTAAAAATAGCGTCTGCTTTATTTGAACTTTCTGAAAAACTGTTTCGAGTTTGTTTAGCTCGAACACAAACGTCACAAATGTTTTCAACATCCTCAGAACTACTAGAAAAACCCATAACACCAGATAAAACCGAAAGAACTCGTGAAGATGGATGCCCTAACCGACGATGCCACAGTGTCCGATCACCAGCCTTGCCTGCATAACCAGCTTGAACTGCAACAGAACCGGTGTAATGATAGACCCCATCACGCTCCTGGCCCGCACCAATCAAAGTCTTCGAAGTTTGGTCCTGTATCACACAAAATTCCTTTGTAAATAACACAAAACTAGCAACTTCGTGTAATAACTGAGCCACAGAAATCAAAGTGATGGACAAATGTGGTGCATAGTAAACACTGTTTAAGATTATGCGGCCACCAAGATTCAAACGGCCACATTGAGTTGCCCATGTCTGGTTTCCATTAGGCATAGTAATTGGACATGGTGCGATAGTAGTGACATGGGTTAACAAGCTGATGTCACCCGTCATGTGATGGGACGCTCCGGAGTCGATAATAATGTCGAACCGGCTATGAGTTCCGAAGAAGTAGAGTTTAGCATTCTTACCCGAAAGCTTGTCAGATGCAGAGGCATGAGTCTGATTATTCACGAATTGAGAAAGGGAGGCCCACTGTTCTGGTGTGAAGGATGGAATGCCGGAAGCAGAAGAGGCATCACCAATTTGTGCATTGTGGCTGCGCACACCGTTACCACGACCACCACGTCCTCGACCTTGATTATCAGGTCCACGCCCACGACCTCTGCCACCAGACTGCTTACTCTTGTCGGACCACCACTCCGGAAATCCAATGACTTGAAAGCAGTTTTGTGAGTCATGACCTTGCTTTCCACAGTGAGTGCATGTTGTGGAAGAGCGACCAATCCTTGTAGCGGCAGCTTGAGGGGTGGAAG